GGCCAGGGCTGGTCAGGACCAGGGTTGGTCACAGCCCAGGACTTGTCACAGCTGGGTCTGGAGGGGTGGGATGGAGGTGTGAGGGGAAGTGAACAACAGCTGCATTGAGTGACAGAGCCAGTGGAGCAGGAGCCTGGCCAGGAAAAACAGGGCCTGGAGCAGGGAGCACATCGTGTCCCTGGCCTCGCTACGTTCTGTAGCAGAGGAAGCTGCGTGGGGATGGGGATGGGGATGGAGATGGGGATGGAGATGGGGATGGGGTTGGGGATGGGGATGGGGATGGCAGCTCCCTGCCTGGGGGTGCAGGGGGGGTCTGGGATCCCCTTCACCCACTGGCCATGGGGGGTGATTAAATCAATCCCTTAATCAATCCCCAGTGCTGGGAAGGAGGAGGTGGGAAGGGCTGTGGGAACCCGAGGGGGGTTCAGGCTCCTTCCTGAGGAGCCTGGGAAGCCCTTTCTGGTGGGAAGGGAGTTGGATCCCCCAGCTGGGCAGCAGCAATTCCTGGTGCTGCCCAAGCCCTTCCCCCTGCAGTCAGGGGCAGGCTGAGTTTGCAGACACTTGGTGTTTTCATCTGCAATAATTGCTTAATGGTGATGATGGAGCTTGGCAGGGCCCTGCAAACTGTCCCTCCTGGAGAGCTGCCCCTTCTGCCCCTCTTGGGCTGCTTCAGATTTGCTGCTTTTCTTTTCTTCCTTATTTTATTTTATTTTATTTTATTTTATTTTATTTTATTTTATTTTATTTTATTTTGGTTTTGGAAGGGGTGCTGGTGACTCAGGGCTGTGTTTGCAAACCTTCAGCTGGTGTGTTCTGGAGCCCTGGAACCAGCCCTGCCCTGGGCTGGCTGGAGCAGCTCTGCTCTGGAGCCAGGCTGGGAGAGTTGGGGTGTTCAGCCTGGAGAAGAGAAGGCTCCAGGGAGACCTGAGAGCAGCTTCCAGTGCCTGAAGGGGCTCCAGGAAAGCTGGGGAGGGACTTGGGACAAGGGCAGGGAGGGATGGGATGAGGGGGATGGATGAAAACTGGAGGAGGAGATTGAAGTTGGACATGAGGAGGGAATTCTTTGGTGTGAGGGTGGTGAGAGCCTGGCCCAGGTTGCCCAGGGAAGCTGTGGCTGCCCCATCCCTGGGGGTGTTGAAGGGCAGGTTGGATGGGGCTTGGAGCAGCCTGGGCTGGTGGGAGGTGTCCCTGCCATGCAGGGGGTTGGATCTGGATGAGCTTTTAGGTCCCTTCCCACCCAAACCATCCCATGACTCCATGACCATGGCTGGTGTGATGGACCCAGGCAGGACTGAGCTGGTGTAGATCAGCAACAGAATAAGCCTTTTAGAGAGGCTAAATATTTTATCCAGCCTACATACATATTTTATCTAGTGTCAGTATTTTCAGCTCCAGGTTAAACCTGTCCATCTCCATCTGCCAAGATCTGGGCTTGGAAATCACCTGCACTTTGCTTTCTTGGGTGCTGGCAGCAGAGCTGGTGCCAGCCAGACCTCCAGGAGGGTGTTCATGCCTCATCCCTACTCACTTCAACAATTATAGAAACATTTGGGTGGGGTTTTTTTATGCTTTAGAAGGTATATTAATTATGAGCAGGTTTTTGAATTGAATTTCCAGGCCTTAATGGGCTGCTTCCCCCCACCAGCAGATGGGAACTGCCTCTGTTTATGGCCATCCTGGTGCTGAAAGGGGGAAAATGGTCCATGTCACCCTGACATGTTAGCAGGGTAATCAGGGAACACTAAAACACTCCATAAAACCTAAGTGTTCATCATCATAAGTAATGAAGAGATATGATTGCCTCATAAAAAAAGCCCTTTCAATGAGCTGTGTGGGGTGGCCTGGCTCTTGGTCACACTTGTTAACACCTGAGAGGTGGCTGTGGGGACAACTGTGGTGGCTACAGGGACAATTGTGGTGGCTACAGGGACAATCGTGGTGGCTACAGGGACACTTGTGGTGGCTGCAGGGACAAGTGGTGGCT